CTTATAACTTAATTTATGTATTTTAAACACACATATAATAACTAAAAGAATATATCACAATTTTAAAATAAAATAATACCAACAGATTATTAACAAAACATGCAAATTAATTTTACATAAAAGTAACTTAAATAATTAATTTGATTTTCATGACAAATCTAGAAATGTTCATAATATAAATCATTTTTGTATTATACATGTTAAAAATATATTTTTACTAAAACTTATTTGTTTATAGTAGTTAGCAGTTTTCTTTATTTTTTCCTACCTTAGTGTATAAATGAAACAAATATGTTTTGAACTTTTTTGTTTACATACAGGAGAACTTTCGTTTACAACATCACCACATTTATTTTTCCTATGTTTAATGCATAAATGAAAAAAAAACCATTTTTGTCAACTTAAAAAAAAAAAGGTTATAAGATGAGAAACTAACGTGATGTTGTTGTAGAAACTTGAAAAAAGTGGTTTTTGGTTTTTCTTTAGAAAGAATAGTTTGTTTCAAAAACCAGTTTCCCTAGATTATAGGAAATATATTTATCCAAAAACTTGATTGGCTAAAAAGTAATTTTTTCAAAAACAAAAACTAAAAACTACAGCAAAATCTGTAAACAATCATCCTCTTAACCAACTTTTCAATGAAAAACCAAAATCCATTTTTTACTGGCTTTTAAAAATGTGCACGTCTACTTTTTTTCTTAAATATATAAATACAATACATTAACACTAGTTAAATGTATATGTTTGTTAAACTCTAAACTCTTTACTTACGTATCTTATTTTACTATTTATATATTATGATTTTTAATCTGTAGGAATATATGTTTACAAAAAATTAATAATTGAAAACAATTTAAAATATTTCTAATTTGTTTTTAAAATAACAAACAGAATATTTTAATACATTTTAATAATGAAATATAAACTTCTGCATATTTTATTTGTGATTTATAAAATTCATAAATTGAAAAATAATTAAAAAAATCAAATAATTTAAACTTAAATATAAAAATGAAAAGATAAAAACTAAAAATAAAATAAAATAAAATTTAAATAGCTTTTTGTGTGGATTGTTTTTAGATTTTGTGAATCATAATATTTTGATATATTTTAATGATAATTTTAAAATGTTATTGATATTTTGCTACATTTTACTGGAAAATAAAAATTTCAGTATGTTTTATTGTATTGTCTTAAAATAAATCACTCCGTTTTGTGAAACAAAATATAGTAATTTCGACAAATAAATCTATACTATTATTTAAGAAGTAAATTTGCTTAGTTGTCATGTTCTCCATAAGTTTAGGTAATTTTGTTTATTTATCATATTTTTAATATTTATATATAATTTACTGATAAATAAAATGAAATTATATGAATATATCATTTTTTTAGAAAATAAGATAACTCTTGTGAATTTTTTGGTTATCTTGAAATATATTTTATATATAAAAATTAAATTTTAAATTAAGATATAAAAATTATTTATTTATTATATAACTAAAAAAAATTTATACTAATAATTTTATCTATACTATTATTTAAGATGTAAATTTGCTTAGTTGTCATGTTCTCCATAAGTTTAGGTAATTTTTTTTATTTATCATATTTTTAATATTTATATCTAGTTTACTGATAAATAAAATGAAATTATATGAATATATCATATTTTTAGAAAATAAGATAACTCTTGTGATTTATGTTGTTATCTTCAAATATATTTTTTATATAAAAATTAAATTAGAAATTAAGATATAAAATTTATTTATTTATTATATAACTAAAACGAATTTATACTAATAATTTTATATTTTTCTCAAATAAGATAATTCTTATGTATTATGTTGTTATGAATTTTATATTTTTCTAAAATAAGATAATCTTATTTATTATGTTGTTATGTTGAAAATATATTTTCCTATTATAAAACTTAAATTAAGATAAAAATTTATATTTTTAATAATTAAATATAAATCATCACAAGAATTATTTGAAAAGTGAATTTGTTGATTTGTCTCCATGATCCTATGTAATTTTGATTATTTACCAAAATTTCTTTCATTTTGTTTATTATTGATTATATAATTAAAACTAATCTCTATTAATAATATGATATTTTAGAAAATAAGTTAATTCTTATGTATTATGCTGTTATCTTCAAAATATATTTTTCTATTATAAATTTAGAATTAACATGTAAAAAATCTATACTATTATTTAAGAAGTGATGTTTGCTAAGTTGTCATATTTTCCATGATTTTAGGTAATTTTGATAATTTATCATAATTTTTATAATGTTATATATAATTATTTAAGAAGTGATGTTTGCTAAGTTGTCATATTTTCCATGATTTTAGGTAATTTTGATAATTTATCATAATTTTTATAATGTTATATATAATTTATTATATATAAAAAATATATTAATAGTATTAGATTCTTAGAAAAATGATACTTCTTATGTATTAAGTTGCTGTCTTGAAAATACATCTTTCGATTAGAAATTTAAAATTACGATATAAAATCTATACTATTATTTGCGAAGTGATTTTTCACAACGGAGCTCTCAGGTTAAAAGTTAGAGCGGTTAATATCGTTTATACACTTAATGAATAAATTAATTAAATATAAAAACGAATTTAAATTTATTTAATTATATAAGATTTTAAATAATAACAATAAGAGTTATCCAAAATCTAAAAATATATTTTATTTTTAAAATATAATTCCTATATATATTGTATTGTTATCCGAAAAATATCTTTTGATAAAATATATAAAAATTCAAAAGCAGAAAACAAATAACTACATATTAATTAATTAAAAAATTAATTTTATATAATTGAAAAGATAATATTGAATAATTTGTAAGATAAATAAAAAATTTCAAAATGAAAACACAAATAATAATTTATGCTTCTAATTTTTTATTATTAATATATTTCTTAAGAAATAATTATAAAAGGCTTAAGGCCGCATGGCGGGCAAAACACCTAGTTACAAACTAAAACATATAAATCAAAAACTAAAAATTAAAAACTCAACAAAAATCAAAAATTAAAATCTAAAAAGTAAAATCAAAATCTAAAAACTAGAAACAAAAACCAAAAACTACTGAAACAATCATCACCTTAAACTCTTGATCACGAGGTCGACTTCCACAAACATTCATTGTCTTGTCTCATTTGCTTACTTTTGTTCTCGAGATTTTCTCAAGTTCTTACAATTTTGAAGACATGCATGCATATTTATATATTGTTTCAGATTGTTGGACTTCTACAAAAGTATCTTATGAACAATAGTTTGTTTCACCCATGCTATCTTTAATTAGTTACTACATTGATATGGTTCTTTCCAAAGCCAACAAATTTTATCTGTTGTCATTCACAAAATTCACTATGAATAAGATTTGCACAAATCTTTAATAATAAAGTTGGTTTTTTTTACTCTTTGGGAGAAAAAAACCACGTGGCACTTACATTTATTTTCGTTCAACAGTTTAAATCATTCTATCTATTTGGGCTCATAAAATATCATCTAGCCCATCTTAAATTAGGGTTTTCTCTACTCTAACTGCAAACAAGATCTGCTCTTCAGACTATCTTCAATGGTTTACACTATTTTTTACTCTAAAATAGAGTCACTCTATAACAGAGTTAGAGTTTACTCCAATGGTACTTTATTTTAGAGTAAAAAATAGAGTGATGAACAAAAAAAAACAAGTTACTCTATATTTGGAGTAAACCTATTTTTCACTTTATTATAGAGTGAGATATAGAGTACCATTGGAATAATTTTACTCTAAAACTCTATTTTAGAGTGAAAAATAGAGTGGGGTTGAAGATGCCCTAACACTGTGACCATCTCCTATGTAACGTCAGTCGTTTGGTGTTACATCCTTTTAATCCCCCACTACTCATCCCATAAACAGTAAACCGACATTAATTCAAATCTATGTGTATTGCGGTGTTTAACTTTGACGGTATGGAGAAATAGAGTTCGATCTCTGTAACTGGGGGGATATAGGATTCAAACTTCTATTTTGTGGGGAAATAGAACGAGGTCAAAAGTCTGTGTGTATCTAGTGATATATGATACTTCTCAGGGGGAAATAAATCGTCAACCCCTCTGTCAATTAAAGATCTTATTATCATTCATACATTCATTCTCCCAATCATATACGTAAAATAAACATCATATTTTTTTTATATTAGAACACTTATCATATTTTGAAAAAGTTATTTTTTGCCAATTTAATTAAGAAAAATATGCTTTATATTTTCCTATCGAGTTTAAGACAGTCCTCTTGATGATATTGAAGTATAATAGTTCATTTAAGTAGGTGATTATAATATTGTAATAATATTTGTTTGGTTTGGGCTCATTAGAAATTTAGTTTGACAAAATAATCCATTTTGAAATGTTAATGTCAACTATCCATATGTATTTCTTTTAAACTATAGAACATATCTTATTATTATAAACTCTTTCAAATATAACATATTTTAATATGAAATAAAAATAAATACTCTTAGTAGATATTTAATAACTATCATAAATATAATTAGAATTTAGATTTTTTGGTCCGGCAAGATAATCAAATTAATATATCTTCATGTCTTCTATAAATAGTTCATTTTTAAAGATACCATGAAAATATGTTTTGAATTTATAAAATAACATAAAATGTGTATTGACAACTAAACCATATATTTAAATTATGTGTCAACTAAATAATATTAGAAAACCGGCGCGTAGCCGGCATATCACTAGTATATACTATGCATAAGATTTGTACAAATTTCACAAAAAATAACCTTAGTATTATCAAGAAAAAATTTATATTAAAAATTGTCTCAACGATATCAATAATTAATATTCAAAATTATTCCAAAGAGGACGACTGTTGTTTATATGTTTTTCCCATTAATTTGCATACTATCTTTCTCTCTATTCACTTTTGAATTAAAATATCAATGCCCATGGTAGTTTGGTAAAGCATATAATCAGACAAAAAATAAACGAACCCATAATGCAAGAGAAGTTAAACGAAATCAGGGTGATATATTACATATACTTTGGGTTAAATCAAATAGCTAAATAATATATACAGGACCAATCAACTAAGACATTTAGGCTAAAACCATTGAAGTCCAAAAGAATTTCTCTAACCTTGTCAGCCTAACTGCACATTTCATTCTGCAACTGTCATCTATATATACCATTGGGCAATGGCTTCCCCAAGTTCCCGCCATTCATTCTCTTATAGGCTTCACCAGGGACCTCCAGCTTCAAATCTTCTAGCCGAGGTAGCATGGCCACAGTTCCATCACCAGCTACAGGCCATGGTACAGCATTGAACGCAGTAACGCTCATACCGGCAAGATCAACCCCGTTCATGTAAGGGAGACAATAATGAGTGTTGGTGGGAGAAAGAGGAGGAGGGGGACAGTAAAACCCAGGTGTGGCTGGCATAATCAGGTTATTCCATGGAACGTTAGCCCCTTGAGCTGTGACCGGGTAGCCATAAGGATGGTGAAAGCCTTGGAACCCATGATGATAAGCAAAGACAGGAGGATACTGAACAGTCATTTCATGTCCGTTTCTCCCATGCGCATACGGTGTCGTTTGAAAGCTGTTGTAGGTAGAAGGAACTCTATGATTACCACCGTTATTGATCTGGATTCCTTCTCTAGGTATTGCACGTTTCACCTCCACACGCTTGTTACTCAATTCATGGAAACTACTCTGCATCACTATCTCAACAGAGTTCTCTGAATCATAAGTGACAAACCCGAACCCCCTTGGCCTGTTTGTCGCGTTGTCATGCATCACAACCACATCGGTAGTCCGACCAAATTTCTCAAAGTAAGTCTTGAACTCTTCTTCAGTTGTCTCAGACGATAAGCCCCCAACAAATATTTTCTTAGGCCTATGGTTGTTCTTATTACCATTGCTTAACATTTCATGGACAACACCACTGTTGTTCTGTTGAACTTCGTTCACGTATGGTTGTTGCACGTTAGGTTGTTGTCTCATATGTTCATGTTTCGTTATCGCCTTTTTAACATCGACCTGGTATAAAGACATGAGATACTAATTAATCTACAAAACTTTCCAACCAAACCAAAACTGATCAAAAAGACATATTAAATGTTCTAAGCGTTACAAAACAGGACATAAACAGGAAAAGTGTTAACTTACGGCACGACCGAGAATGTAATGAGAATCCCTAAGAGCTTTACCAACATCATAAGCATTGGCAAAGCGAACAAACGCAAACCCTCTGGGTTGACCAGTGGCTTTCTCCTTAGCAACAACAGCTCCCAAGACAGCTCCATATCTACTGAAATGTTGCTTCAGAGACTCTTCACTAGTCTCTCTTGGTATCCCTCCAACGAATAACTTGTATTGATCACAATCCATATCCCCAAAACCCTAAACTGCAACTTTATCACAATTTTTCTTAAAATTGGCTTTTTTTCCAGCACACTTAAACTCAGGACCAATAAATATCAGAGCTGTGAAATTACGAGTGACTCAGATTGTCAAAATCAAAAAACCCCCAAAATCGAACAGTGACATGTACGGAAACCCTAAACTAAAATTTCTTGAAACATGAATGCTAATTTAAGAAGCAAAAAAAAATGAAACTGAGGATAAACAACGCAAACCCTAATTATCAAGAAGAAGACTAGTGAAAAGAAAAACCCTAGAAAAAAGGAATCATCAAATTTGATGGCGAAGAGGAAAGTTTACCAGTAGGAGAGAGAGAGAGAACAGTAGTCTGATTTGACCCGGCTGGAGAAGTCGAAGAGAGTTAAAAGTTAAAATTTTCTTCAGCTTTAGGGTAACTTTTTTCTTGTATATTAGATATGAATGAACTAATGGGCTTAAAAATCATTTGTCTTAAGGGTTTGAGGTCCAAATTATATCATAAAGGTTTTTTTTACCTTTTTTAATTGAGGCTTTGATTGTTCAATAGTTTTTGGTTTTTAGATTTTAGATTCTCATTTTAGTTTCTGGGTTATCTGCAAATTTTGCTTGTTTAAAATTTTATTTGTAATTAATTTAAATTTTAGTTTTATTTTTAAAATTATGATTTATGTTTTGTTTTATTTTTGAAATTTTATTTAGTAATCAAATACATTGGTAATGATTGGTTCGAATGCGAGTAAAAAAGGATTCCTGAAGATGATTCTTTTGAGGATGCAAAGCTGACTGGTTTTCGAATGCATCTTAGAAGGTATGTCAATGTTGCAAAGCTGACTGTTTTTCAAATGCGAGTAAAAAAGGGTTCATGAAGATGAATCTTTTGAGGATGCCTACCGCAAGTGTTGATTTGACATGTTTTCCAGGGAAACCAGAGAGACGGATGAGGAGATCAAAAGCCTGTTTGATAAGATCAAGAGTGAGTCTAAGAAGGTTAAGAAGCTGAAGAAACAACAAGACCATGAGAATTTGTGGTTCCATGTTCTATCTCGGGAGCTGGGTTTCTTAATGTTCTGTGCAACACTAGTTCTTCATTCAGCATCTTAAAGACGTTGCTGATAGAATGATACTTAAGGACGCTTCCTCAATGGTCTTTAATTTGGTAGATCTTTCCAACACATTATTACTTGGAATTATCAAGAATGTGGAAGTGAAGATTAAGGACTGCATTATACTTGTTGACTTTAATGTGATAGAGATAAAGAAAGGGTGGATGACTTCTTTACTTCTTGGAAGAGTATTATGGATACAGTGGAATCAGTATGTGATATGCAGAAGAACAAGATGTATCTGGCAAACATTGATAAGAAGGTCGTCTAGGATCATGTTCAAAACAGTAGAGGTATGCACTTAACTTCTTACATTGAGATATGTGAGGATCCAACGCACATAGCTGCTTGTCGAGAAGATTCAGGTCGAGAGAGAGGAAGTTCGGCATTAGTGTCGATCGACACCCCTCAGGTATTAGAGCACAATGAGACATAAAAATTTAAGTCTATCAGAAAAAGTAGTAAGAAAAAAAAAGAGCATAAAGGCTAAGGATGACTCTACCTAGCTTAACTCTGATTCCTTAGACTTGTCCATATGGTATAATTGAGTACAAACTGCACAATATATATAGGTGGTTCACAGTCATTGACAAGATTAGAGCAGTTGTCACTTCAGAGAAAAAAGACAAAGAAGATGATGATTTGAAAGCCTTCATAGCTGCTTGTTCGAGGTGGAGGAGGACACTGTAATTTTTTTTGGAGATGAATATGAGTTTCCAAAGTCAAACTAAAGACTGAAAACAAGCGTTGGCTGGAAAGTAATCCACTATTTTTTTGTACTCAGTAAAAAAATTGAACTGAGTACCAACACGAGTAATACCACCTGGTGTTGGTCAACACCCTCTTCACGTGAGTAACGGACGATACTCAAAATCCATTCTCAGGAACGACTAGTGACATCCCTTGCTTTTATTTTGTTTCCATTTGTTAATTTTCACCAATCTAAGAATGTATAACACTAGATAAAGTGTTGTTTAAGTCTTGGGAGGTAGTTACTGAAATTATGTTTTGTTTTGAGTACCAGTTAGGTCATTTTATCAGTTTTATCGTTTCAAAATAAAGTCAGTCGGGGATGATGAAATTTTTCTTTGAATTAAACCACCTAACCACTACTTAGCACCATTCTTTGAGTTACTGATGGCAGGGTGTATTACATGAAAAATGCCAAAGTGGATCGATCTTCCCATAACATCCATGCTCATTGAGAGTGTCTGAATGAACCAAAGATAGCCTCCAATCTAATTTACTTAATTTTCTTGTGCTGGAGCTTGATATACATTAGATCAGATTCCCCTTTTAAATACTAAAAGGTATGTATGTGTGTGTCTGGTTTCCCTCTCTCTCCCCTTCAGAATAAAAGAAATTCAAAAGAGATAAAGGTCAAAAGGAAGTGGAACATGAACTGCTGGCAGCAACGATTAGTACTTTATTCATGATACATGTACAAAAGTCTCTGTCGATTTAAAAGAAAATGATATTTTGCAAAGCAGAGAGACATCGACTAAGTGAAGCGAGAAAAGAGAGAGATGAAAGAAACCAGGGAAACTCTCTGTGTGATCAGAAGCCCAAACGGGTAAGAGTCCATATGAGCATGTAAATATAATCTCTTAAATGAGATCAGTGGAGGGGTATGTCAGATTGTATTTTGTGAACTGGGGGTTGGATGGTCAGGTTAGTAAGCTAAGGCTGAGTAAATGGTAGTACCTTATAAGGTTGATTATGCAATTTATTCAGTATTTGATTATGTTTTATCTAATTATGTATGAGAGTAATCAACCTGTTAGATTTAGAGATTTCTATGATTTATGATGAATTATTAATCAATAGAATTGCTAGGGTGATCTAGTTATAATCTTCACCAGAATTGCTTTTGTCCATGTTTCTAGAGTAATTAACTAGAAACTTTATCTTAGGATAATTAATAAACACTACAGTGTGACTGATTACCTGAATTGGATCATGTTGAGCTAAATACTTATTTGCAACTACAGTTGGTTTAAGAATTTAGTAAACAAATCGAATAGGAGATTAATGCTTGTCTGAATTATTGAATTCACAACTAGAGATGATTTTCTAGGATTTAGACAGCTGATAGTTTCTTCAATGATAACTGATTTGTAATTTGATTTCTAGGATTGTTCGTAGTAAAACCCATATCATCTTATTGCTTTCAGTTTAAAATTGCTTGTTTGCTATCCCTAGATTTAGAACTTTTCCCATTCGATTTTTTATTGTTTTATTGCTTTATATTGCTTGCCTAGCTGGATAAAGTCAAACGTTTATTGTGGATCATAGTCCCTGTGGATTCGTTGCCTAAGTACTGCAACAGCCTCTAAACTTGCAGCGTTTCTCTCTGAGTAAATTTGAGCATATCACCTCCCAGGACGGGGTCATGCAAGCTTCGTGGCGACAGACGATGAATGCATTGATTCACGTTTGCTGGCCGGTTAGGGTCTGGACTAGTTTCTTAAAGCACGAGTTAATGCTGACATGTGTTTGAACCGACTTTGGTGATAAACGAGTAAGATGATCGACGAAACTCGTCGGTGGGTTATTACGAAGGTTTGAGTAAACGTGAAAAGAGAGTTTATTTATAGTCGGAAAAGAGTATAAAGAGTGACTTCGGTGCTTGAAGAGCTTAACCGGAAGTGTACGGACTGATCAGAGAACAACAAAGAGATGAGAGAAAAACCTTAGTGTAAGTTACCGCCTAATCAGTCTATTTTCGGATCCCCTTCTTGTTGTGCGTCCTTCCCCTTTTATAGCAGGATCTCTTTCCTTTTGACCTAGAGCGGTATGCGGTAGGAGGCTTTTCGTACTGGGCCTTTGCTCGGCCCGCGAGTATGGGGCTCATTAACCGCATTCCCCTCAGTCATTAGTCGTCAGGTTGATGGCTCGGCTCTTACTCGGCTAAAGGCGGTCTCGCGCTGAGCCGATCCGTTAGTCGCCAACCGGGCTGTCGAGCTGTCTTCTAATGGGCCGGATATGCTTTCTCATGGGCCTTGATGGAGGGATGCAATCCACTTCCTACAGTAAGTCTCCCCAGTCCACTGGTGATTTTGCGCGATGAATCAGAGTGGATTTTGCCTATTAGGTCCATGAAATAGCATGTTCGGGACACAGAAGGAAGCCTATTGGTGTGTTTTGCTCGAAAAATTGCAGGTGGTGATGTCGATATGCCTCTTCGATGAATTAGACGAATACTCGGTGGTTGAGTAGCACGAACTATTGGGTCGGCGATCAGATTGTTCGACATGCCGAGTGACTCACTCGGTGAAAGAAGTATGAGGAGAAGAGTTTCGTTGCTTACTCGGTGATCGGATTGTTAGACATGCCGAGTGATTCACTCGGTGAAAGAAGTATGAGGAGAAGAGTTACGTTGCTTACTCGGCGATCGGATTGTTCGACATGCCGAGTGACTTACACGGTGAAAGAAGTATGAGGAGAAGAGTTGGGTTGCTTACTCAACGATCGGATTGTTCGACATGCCGAGTGACTTACTCGGTGAAAGAAGTATGAGGAGAAGAGTTGTGTTGCTTACTCGGCGATCAGTTTGTTCGACATGTCGAGTGACTTACTCGGTGAAAGAAGTATGAGGAGAAGAGTTGCGTTGCTTGGTGATCGTTGTGAAAACCACTATAGGGAATTCGTATGGTCACCAATAAATGGGCTTTGACACGACCCTTCGATACCTTTACACGAAAAAGCCCATTTTTTGTGACCGTTCGAATTCCCTCTAGTGGCTTTTCACAACGATCACCAAGCAAGGCAACTCTTCTCCTCATACTTCTTTCACCGAGTAAGTCACTCGGCATGTCGAACAATTCGATTGCCGAGTAAGCAACACAACTCTTCTCCTCATACTTCTTTCACCGAGTAAGTCACTCGGCATGTCGAACAATCCGATTGCCGAGTAAGCAACACAACTCTTCTCCTCATACTTCTTTTACCGAGTGAGTCACTTGGCATGTCGAAAAATCTGATCGCTGACCCGATAGT